GTAACTTGAAAGTGTTTCCCATGATGTTTTGTTGTATTGTTCTCTCTTTGGAGTGCTACTGTTGTTTCAAGCAGCATGCTTGAAACTCTGATTTACAAGGTTATTTGTCCTCCCTGATCCCTCTTCCTTAGCAGCCACCCCTCCCTCTCTCCTCCACTTAGGAAAGCTGAAGGAAAAGCCCCTTCCTCAGGCTCTGCTGAACTGCCACCTGAGTACCTGACCAGCCCACTGTCCCAGCAGTCACAGGTAATAATTTGAAACTCTTTATATCAATCACTGTCTTTCTAGATTTTTTGTTTTTGTTTTGTTACCTGTTAAATATAGGACTTAAATGATTTTCGAGTTATTATATTGTTGTTGTTTTTTTTACATTTTAGACAGCTTTCTAGCCTTTTTGGAAAAAGTTGCCAAAATTGTCACACTGGAAATAAATAGTCATGTACACCCCATCATTCATTAGCTTAAAGAACCACCTTTACCAGCAATCACTTGAAATCAGTGTTTTCTAGCTGACTTTAATTCCCATATTGCTGTGGAGGAAATTTGTCCCAATCTTTCCTACAGTGTTGCTTTGGTTCACTGAGATTTGCAGGCAGAGCTCTCTTAATGTAATTCTACAGCATTTCAATCAAGCTGAATGTCTGGGCTTTATTTGTGGTCATTATGAAACCTTTAGTGTTTTCTTTTTCAGCTATTCTATTGTAGATTTGTTGTAATTTAGATGATCCAGTTGCAGCCAAGCTTTCGCTGTTGGACTCTCCTGCTATATATTTCTCCTGCTCTTCTTTCTCACCAGATGCCCCCCAAGAGAGATGAGGCTGCCCTGCAGGAGGAGGAGGAGCTGCAGCTGGCCATAGCCCTTTCTCAAAGTGAGGCTGAGGAGAAGGAGCGAATGGTGGGTTGCTAAGCTGAAATGCTCATTTTTGGGTATGGATGTGTTTGTTTTCAGCTAGTATATAGAATAAAAGCTGACACACAGCTGAATGCTCAATTGCAGAGACATAAGAACTCGTACTCGATGTATCCCAAAACCGATCCCACCCCAGTGACTTCCTCAGCTCCCCCAGTCAGTACCCTCTACACTTCCCCTGTGGTAAGGCTGTTTCCAGCAAAATCACTTATGAAAACATTTTTTGTAGAGTATGATTTTAAAAGCATGTTTGAAAGATTTTTATTATTGTTAAGCAAATTTTAAAATGCATTCTTTTTTGACTATTATGAAACACATTGCAGAACTCCTCTGCTCCATCAGCTGAAGATGTAGATCCTGAGGTACATTGCTCTTCTCAAATGTTAACAGTATTGCTGATTAATGGAAATGCTACACCGTGCTTTTAAAGCTAATAAGGAAATATGACATCATTCCAGCTGGCCCGTTACCTGAACAGAACATATTGGGAGAAAAAACAGGAAGAGGCTCGCAAGAGTCCCACCCCCTCAGCCCCTGCCCCTGTGACATTGGCTGAGCCACTTCCGGCAATCAGTCAGCCCGTGGAAAGTCACGTCCCGGTCCAGCCTGTCAACATAGTGGAGGTATGCTGAAGTTGTGAGCTCTAAAAAACCAAAATCAAGCTAAACACAAATGAGCCCCTGCTCATGGTTTGCCCTGTTCATCCCCTCTTTCAGCAGCAGTACCAGAATGGCGAATCAGAGGAGAACCATGAGCAGTTTCTGAAGGCTCTGCAGAATGCTGTCACCACCTTCCTGAACCGCATGAAGAGCAACCACATGCGTGGGCGAAGCATCACTAACGACAGCGCTGTGCTCTCACTCTTCCAGTCCATCAACAACATGCACCCACAGCTTTTGGACATCCTCAACCAGCTAGATGAGAAGCGATGTAAGCGTTGGCCTTGTGTAATTGTGTCCATGTTTATAGATTTCTCTCTCCACGTGTCCAGGCTCTGAACTGTGATGATCTGTGTCTTGTCAGTGTATTATGAAGGGCTGCAGGACAAGCTAGCTCAGGTTCGTGATGCTCGGGCCGCTCTCAACGCACTCCGGGACGAACACAGAGAGAAACTGCGTCGCGCTGCAGAGGAAGCGGAAAGACAGAGGCAGATCCAGCTGGCACAAAAACTGGAGATCATGAGGCAGAAGAAACAGGTACTGAACTGAATCTGTTCAATGAGAGTTCAGATATAATAGGCCATTACCATGCTCACAGGTATTTCTTTGGACCGCAGGAGTACCTGGAGATGCAAAGACAGTTGGCCATTCAGCGCCTCCAGGAGCAGGAGAAAGAGAGGCAGATGCGTTTGGAGCAGCAGAAGCACACCATCCAGATGAGGGCCCAGATGCCTGCTTTCTCTCTTCCCTATGCCCAGGTACACATTTTATACTCCATCTGGCCTCAGACTGAACTCAACCCAAGGATAATCTAGTCAGTAAATTCACTTGATATTGCAGAAACCAAATGTCTCAATAATAGCAGAAATATATGAACCTAAAGAATAAATTTCAGCTAATGAAACATTTTTTTAGATTTCAGCGGGAGACTTTTTATGTTTTTGAACTTTTTTAAGTTCATTGTAATCTTTTGGTGAAATTTTAATGCTGTCTTTATTTGCTGTTATGTAGATGCAGTCTTTGCCCCCCAATGTCGCGGGAGGGGTGGTATACCAACCCGGTGCTCCGCCCAGCTACCCAGGCACTTTCAGCCCCGCTGGTTCTGTGGAGGGTTCACCTATGCACAACATCTATATGAATCAGCCAGGGCAGACTGCACCAGCACAGTACCAGGCTATGCCTGGTCCTACCACAGGTGAGGAGGTTCACAAGAAAAAGGATCAGCTGAAAAGACAAGAAATCTACCAACTTTGGTCATCTGGTGTTACAATTAGCAATATGATCTAAAATCTTAATCGTTCACTACAATGTTTTGTGTTTCCTCCCCCCCTTTCTTTCAGATCCCAATATGGTTAATGCATACATGTACCCACCTCCAGGAACTAATGGGCAGCCCGCTCCTCCGCCTGGTCAGGCTCCACCCACAACTAGTCCACCCTACTCCACCTATCAGCCCACACCTACGCAGGGTTACCAGGTCTGACAAAGCTCCACTTAAATTTTCTGATTAATACATGAAATGCCACAAAAACGTTTAAAGATGAATGCATCTCACTGTTCTCTGTGTTTTGTGCAGAATGTGGCCTCTCAGGCGCAGAGTATGCCCCCCATGTCCCAGGCACCCCCCACTAACGGTATGGGTTATATGGGTTACCAGCCGTACAATATGCAGAACATGATTTCAGCATTGCCGGGACAGGACCCCAATATGCCCCCTCAACAGCAGTACATGCCAGGCCAGCAGCCCATGTATCAGCAGGTCAGTTGTATATTTATATATTTGAAGCTTCTGACAGACTAAAAGTTAATTGGTTCAACTGTCATTCACAGTTAACGCATGAAAGCTTTCTTTATTTTTATCTTTGGTATTTTTATTTAGGTTATTTAAATGTCAGTCCTGGCTAATCTTCCTATTTTTACTTGTGCTGCTAGGTTGCTCCCCCTGGTGGCCCCCCACAGCAGCAGCAACAGCCTCAGCAGCCACAGCAGCAGGCACCTCAAGCCGTGCCGGGCAGCGCAGAGGCACAGCTCATCTCCTTCGACTGAAGAGCCTCACGCTGCTGGGTCTAACACACTACAGCTCCTCTCCCTGTTTGGTCTCTTTCTTCCCTCTCTGGACTCTGAGGATACCCTCTGGAAACACACACATAATTCCCACTTTCCACCTCGCTGTGATTTTTGTGGCAACGTGAAATATTGTGATGATGTTGCAGAACTGTTGCTCTCCTTGCCTCTCCCCCGCTGAAGTATAAAAATCAGGAGGGGTGAAGCTGCAATGGGAAGCGCCATAACCAAGAACCTTCACCCTCTTCCTCCTCCTTTCCAGCTGATATGTATGTAGTATCTCCTTATTAAATGAATAACTGAAGAGCAGAAATAGTCAGTGGTATTAAAGTTACAGAAAATATGACCATTTAGGAGATTAAAAAAAAAAAAAAAAAGAGAGAAGAAGATGCAACCATCCTTTGTCTCACATTTTTCTAAATCCAAATTTGCATGTTGAAATTTCAGTTCTTTTCTGGAATGGAAGCAAATTATTTCAACGTGTTTTAACAGTTTAAGAAGTGACTGAGAAACATCTGTATTCACTGTTTAAGATGCTGTTGGTATGTCTGAAGAGTGACAGCACAGTCAGACACCTGGAAAAAATCTCACTAATGCATAAGCAGTAGTTTTCATATCATCCCTTCTCATAATTACAAATTAGAGTCTTCTTTTTTAATGGGGGGGCATTTATTTGTTGTGTGCTGCTTCAACTGTGTGTTAATATAGTTTCAGAGACGATGCAGGGATTAGCACGTTGTGGGAAAACTGTTTAGAAAATTAGCTGGGTGGTTGTTTCGTCTTCATCAATTATACTTAATTAACTAAATCATTAAAAATCCACAATTAGTAACAATAAAATATTCATACTAAAAGCAGTCCAGCAGTTCTAATAGCATTTTGCATCCCTTCTGTTAAAGCGACTGGTGTTGCCGAACATCAAGTGCCATCACAAAATAGAAGCATATGAACTTAACCTGTAATAAAGTGCAAGTTTCCTCCAGGAGTCCCAGCCTACATTCTATTAGTTGTAATTTTCACATATACAGATGCCTGCATCGGGAGTACATGTGGGCACTCTTTCGAAAGTCTACTTGAGTATCCAGAAGTGAAGAAAAGCTTGCAGAGCAAACATGATGTGCTGCATGTATGTATCACACACCCAATCAGTGGTTTCTGTAACTCTTCAGTTGGCGTCTGTGAACTTCTTTATTCCAACATACTGATCTGACTTTGAAGTAATTTTAAAATTATATTTAATAAATATCTGGTTCTTACTGTCCACGTGCCTCGACTTGTATTTTGTAACCACACACAGAGGAGGGTTGTTTTTTTTAAAGCTTTTATTCAACTATATCCATTATCAGATTGCAGAATTGTCTTACAAATATAAAGACTATAGACTTACACTCATAACTGATGTGAACTAATTAATGTCCTTTTGGTATTTTGGTTTCTTTAGAGTTTTCTGAAGATGAGGCATTTGTAGTATTCTTCCATCTCAATCTAAAAGAAGGAAACATTACAAGTGTAAAAGGCATGCTGCTGGGAGGTGGAATCGCCTCCAAGCCGAGATACATGACTTACTATCCGCTCCATACGCATCCCGTTCCCATAGGCCAGCTGTCTGAGCACGTCGATATCTGGAAGACCCCAGTCTGGATTCCTGTATGCAGCAGAACCAAACATGGTCCATATCTTATCCTAACAGCCAACCACATACACATATTACCAAATAGCTGCTACTCACATTTTTCGTAGCTCCTCATCCAGCTTTTCATTACAACTTGGTGTGATGATGCCATTAACAGCATACACCTGAGAAATGTTTTAATTTGACATCAGTTAGTAGGTTCAGGTTTATTTGTAGTGTAATTAACTATCATTACGTACCCCATATGTTATCAAAAGGCCGTTTTGTTTGAGGATCTGTCCTGCTCCACTGAACACTCCCTGAGAAAATGATAAGTAAATAAAATACTGTGGGGATATCTCAAGCTCTTCAGTTGATTTATAAGCAACCAGGCCTACCTGGGCTGTTTTGAAGGAGCTGTATTGCAGTAAATTAATGGAAATAATAACGTCACAGGAGTTGTGACTCAGTCCTGCCCATTTCTCCCACGGATCACTGGCATCCAGGTGAACAGGTGGTAGCACCGTCTTTGCTTGGGTTGCAGCAATATATGCCTTGATACTGCCAACAAGGTGTGTACGAGCTTCATTTTAGATTTAATGTCAAATCCATAGACTTCAACAAATCACTTGTTTAAATACATCATTGATTTAACTGGAATATGTTCGTAAATCTTTCTGTCACACATAACTATACTGACACGTCAACATGGCAAGCACTTTCTGAAAGGCACAAACCTCTCTAGAGAATCCTCTTTGATGTCTGATGGCTGCCAAATGACAAAGGGCATCTTCTGAGCAAACCGTATGATATGCTGGCCAGTTCCAGAACCAAGCTCTAAAGCAAATAACTGCCTGTGTGACTGGCTCTCCAACACATCTTCGAGCACTGAACAAACACTCTCCCAGTTCCTTTCAGCCTGAGGAGACAGCAGCATGGCCTGAAGGAAAAAGAAAAGAAAAGATGTGTGCCTCTTTTATCTAGCATTGCACTCCCATGCATTGCATTGTTCTCTTAGCGGATGCTTCTTACCTTTTATTTGCACTGGCGATAAAGGCCAGTGGAGGGAATGGCATGTTGGTGGAAGACAGTAGCAGCAGATGGGTGGAGAGATTACCTGGTTAAGAGGATTTCCTTCATGCTCCTTCCCAGTGTCCAAGTGCCCAGCATTGGTACGCTACAGGTAGGACGTGCGCAGAGCAAATAGTAGGACAGCTATAGTCTTGAGTCACCTCTTATTTCTTTCTACTTTTCTTGCAAGGAGCCAGTCCACTTTACATTTTTAAAGTGGTCTTGACCAATTATTCTCCAATTCTGACTTTTGACTCATTTACTATTTTTTTCTTTTCTTTTGTTAAGCCTTGTTAAGAAAATCCAAACACAGGACCTCGGATCTGGATCTGACATGGTTTCGGGCTGAATCTGAGCCAGTGGTGTTGTGGATAATGTCAAAGCTGATGAATTCTGAACACAGCAAAATCCCTTCAGATGTTGATCCACTATGCAATTCCACCTGGAAAGCATGTGACTGTAACAGCTTAATTTTTGAGCATTAGAATGATCCCAACCACACTGCCAATGCAGTAAAGACACCTGGATGGAAAAACAGATAATGGAGCACTATGAGTCACTGCATGGCATTGAAGTGATAATGCTAGAGATGGGAAGATGAGACTGGACATTATTATTATTTCAAACTTACTTTCTTTCTGTCGCTCTCTCACGCACATTCATTGTCCCTTGTGGGCTCCCGTAGCAGTTGAATTGAGGTTTTTTAACAGTTCACGCAATGCATTGTGGGTAGGTCAGGAGTAGAGGGGACGCCATGTGCTTTTGAGGCAGAGGATCCGCTGGAAGGAGACGTGTGTGTGATAAATTTGTCTGTTTTCTCAGAGAGAGGACCACCGGCTCCATTTACCGTCGGCATGTTCTGCACCAGCCGCTGCCTCCGCACCGCGCTGCGAGCCGCAGCCAGCACGCATCGGTACGTAACAGGCGGAGTACACCTGTATCCGAGTGTCTGCGGCTTCAAGGGCAGAGAGCCGGCCACTGCTGCCGCTTAATTTGGATGGAGAACATGATGTTGTCTTTTTAATTCGTCTAAAGACAGACGATGCGCGTTGTGTGAGCACAGAAATGAGTTTAGTGGTTTGCGGCTGTGTGCTAAGTAGGTTAGCCGACGTTAAGGGTTCTCTCGCAGGCTTCAACTTGAACAACGTGACCAATTGAGCCCTGCTGTCCGACTAATGACACACAACGCAGTATACCTTTATGGCTTCGTCTTAAAAAAATCTAAGAGAAGCATGGCTTCGATTTTTTTTCTTACCTACACTGGTCAAATGGGACTTTTCTGGTATTTGACAATAGTAAAAATACCCTGGATGATTTTTTTTAAAACATTTTTTATAGCTTGATAGGCTACATTACCCTGTTAAAACTGACTATAGAGCCACCACTGGGGTTTTTCGGGGATCTTGAGACTTTCAATGCCATGTGTGTGTAAAAGAGGCAGTTGTGTCTTAAAACAGACATGTCCAGACTGTCAGCTGGAGATTTTATGATGTAAGCCACCGTGGCTTGTCCTGGAGCGCTTCTCTCTCTTCATCCTTATCAGGACCTCTCAGCCAAAGCTGTAGTTTCCTCCAGTGTCGCCCTGGTTACATGGAGGCTGACTGCCCTTTGCACAACTGTGTCCACATGCCTGACAATTTGTTGTAACCATCAGACACTATAAGTGCATCGTCTGTACGTCCCTCATCCAACTGGTTTCCATGCAATCAACAAAGAGCAACTGCTCAGCTGAGCTGTCCACGTCTGTCATTGTGAAATCTCAAGTCTGAGATGTTTGAGAAGGCATGAAGAACCACCATGCTGTCAGTTTTACTAACAGGACTGAGCTTCCTGGCCCCTGCCCTTCTTCCACAGTGCATTTCTAGGTCTACATAATTTCTTTGATTACATGATTACAGTCCTGCATTCATAGAATAGCGAGGTTGCTAAACAATGACGGGTAACAAAGAAGATTGAGCTGATATATAACCTTTGTTATATAATGCAATTGTAACCTCAACAGGGAGGGTGTAACACAGAACGGGTAAATAAATTGCATCTGTGAGGGTTATAATTCAATTGATATTATTATTGTACATTCTGCTTACATGAAACTTGATCATGTTCCAAAGGTTTTCAAGTTGGATATTCGTGTTGCAGAGTGTGCCTTTGTAATAAACCTACAATATTCCTGAAATCTGTACTTACTGCCAGAATATAATGGTTGATTTCTTAGCTCACAGGTACTTGCCATAATGTCAACCAGTCCTGCCCGCCCTAAGCGTTACTGCTCTGCATTCTTGTGCCATCTCGCATATAACATACAACAAATCTGTTCTTACTATTCTTACCAGGGATGCGTGACTCTCCAACCAAAGCTAGCCAGTACCTGCAGAATCCTGCCAAATCCTTTGTGGTGTGGTGTTTTTGTATAGCATTATTTGCTGATGCAAAACTGGAATTTCAGGGTTTTTTGCTTGCCAAATTACCATAATTTGTTTGAGCTGTTAAACTGCAAAGCAATAAGCATAAAAGTGTCCTCCAGGTGAAATAAGAAAGCAAACCCATCTCATAGTAATAGCTACTGTCTTTACACAGTGAGAAGCTTGAGGGGTTATTTGGTGGTTTGCAAATTGAGACCATTAATTATGCATAAGTCAGGCAGTCTGCACTCTAAATGTAAGAAGGATTGTTTTGTGGATTTGTGGATACAGTCTGCCGTTTAGCTAATCGCTTTTCACTTTTCCCAGGCAACAGCTTCAGCGGCAGACACCAGCCTTATGTGCTCTCAGACTTCTGAAAACCAGTCAGGCCTCGTCTTCAGATGCCATCCCCACCCCTCCTCTAGATGGATCCCCCAAACAGTATTCCCCCAAAATCCAGCAGCTTGTCAGTGACATAGCCAGCCTCACCTTGTTAGAGGTGTCTGATCTCAACGAACTCCTCAAGGTTTGTGGGAAACCTAAAACCACAGTGCACTTTGTCTGAGCTTCTTGCTGTCCGTTTGTGTTAAATGTTGAGTGATAACTTGTTTGTCTTTACCACAGAAAACTCTGAACATTGAGAGTGTCGGAATGATGCCGATGGGGGCGATGGCGACATTAGCTGCTCCTGCAGCTCAGGTATTGATAATTGTTTTTAAAGGGAAGTTCTGAAGACTGCCTTATAAATCATTAATGGCTTAAGTAGCAACATACATCATTATTGTTCTTTTTCAGATGTCTAGCTTAGGAATTTAAAGCCACTCATAGTTGATGTGGCCAACGAGGCTCTGTGCGCACAGTTAAATGACCTCGATTGTGTTCCTTTTGCAACTAGGCTGCAGAGGAGGAGGCGGCACCAGCAAAGAAGGAGAAGACTCACTTTACAGTAAAATTGACAGAATTGAAAGCTGCTGAAAAAGTAAAGCTTATAAAGGAAGTGAAAAACTGCATCCAGGGCTTGAATCTGGTGCAGGTAAGTCTCACTGTTGGAGCTATTTAAGTGGGCTTATTGTAGCTTTTGGCAAAAAGCAGTGTTAACGGGCCGGTGTTAGAATGTGAGCTATAAAATGTTTATGAGATGACGCTTTGGAGGTAATAATATGCATATATTATTACATAATAGTCTGCAAAATCAGTCCAATTTATTTTGTGAATCAGTTTCAGCTGCTTTGGTGCAAATGAAAATCTCACTGCTGGTAGCATAAAACAGTACATGCAGTCCAGCTCATCCAGGATGACACATCCATTCGTGCTGTCATGAGAAGGTTTGCTATGTCTCCCAGCATGTTCTCAAGAGTGGTGAGGTGATGCAGGTGGGCTGTTACACAAGGAAGGCTGAACAGGGCTGTAGAAGGATATCAAGGGCATCAGTGTCTGCTCCTCTGAGCAAAGAATTGCCAGTCCTACTACATGACCTCCAGCAAGCTCGTCATGTGCATTCCTCTAAACAAACTGTCAGAGGGCACGAGGGTAGCATGGGTTGACGTCTTTTAGTGGGTCCTTTGCTCACAGAGGTTGTCTGTGGTGTTGGCTTTGCAGTGAACCTGTTGTCCCTTTATTTGCACCAAAGTGGGTGAAATGCATTCCCAACAGTTTCTAACTTGACAGATTGATATGAATTTGTTGTATTGTGGTGATCAAGTGTTCCTAATTTCTTTCTTTTTATTGTGAGCAGTAACTACAAGCAAACATTGTGTATAGTGTAATTTGCTTTGTCTGCAGTGTTAAAGCTTCTCAAAGCACAAATTTGTTAATTTCACTAATTGTTTTTTTTCTTCTCCGCCCTCTTTGTTTGAAACAGGCTAAGAAACTAGTGGAGTCTCTTCCACAGGAAATCCGGGCCAACGTATCCAAAGAAGAGGCAGAGAAATTAAAAGCAGCCCTGGAGGCAGCAGGTGGCACCGTGGAGTTGGAGTAGATCTCGTCTGCCCTTATGCCCACTGTTCGCCATCATTTTACTACTCATGCACTTCATCCTTGAGTTTATTTCTTTTTATTCGTTTTCTTTCCTCCCTTTTTTTTTTTTTTGTACGACAAAGACGTGGATCGTAAGAGAAATGGAAACAAATGCCTTCTGACATTAACGCCGTCCCCTTACAACGTCAGGTCGGGACGGCACAGCTGAGACTGAACTCTCCGGCACGCAGCCTTCGCAGATGTGCCGCCACACTGTTTGGTGGTTCGCTTGTCTGATACACGTGTCACAAACAAGCTAAGGAGATTGGTTGGATGCAGAGTAACGCCTTTTTCAGACATGGGATGAATAACATTGCAGTAATGGCATTGTGTCAATCGGCCATTGATCACGTTAATGTTCCTCTGGTTTCTATCTGACCTTCCTGCGACAGACTGAGAGAACTTCTCTCTCTGTCATTGTTACAAAGAGCTGCATGTGCTGCGTGGTGTTGCAGAGAGAGCTGTACCCTGCCCCCCCACATGCATGCTCTAAAAAGCTTTCTTCTGTATTAGGAAGAATGCTTGAATCGTATTCCAAATTAGAAACGATGTAAACGTTTCTGCTTTTAATTGCATTCTCCTGTGAGCTGAGTAACTCGCCAAAGATGCATGCATAGTTGCTACGGTTGAAATTTATTGCGTCCTACCTCCAGAGGCGTGATCAGGGTGCTGATGGACACAAAACCATGACCACACCAAGATGCTGTCAGATCAGTGGGAAGGAGCGCATGTCTGAAAGAGGCTGAAATTACTTTGTAATTCTTTGTGTTTAATCTTCTCACAAGGTTAAATCTTGCGGTTTCCAGGTTGATACAGATGACTGATGTTGAGGAGCACCAGATACTGTGTGTAGTTCAGAGAATGGCAGGGCTGAGTCCAGATAAATCTCATTGAAATGTTAATGTGATTAAAGTTGAAATAATTATTTTGCTCTTATGTGTTATTGGTCGTGTGGCTGAATTTATGGAAAACTTGATGAGATGTAATCAAGATTTCATGTGTGCTGTGTTGACTGAACATTTATAGTGGAACAGTGAATTTCACTAGATAATGCTTTGCTGTGGTTGTCCACCAGAGGTCTTAATAACGCTGGATAACAGCACTTGCATGTCATTTTGTTTCTGAGTAAACCTTAGTGTTGAAATGAGTAGGTTTTCCTAAAAGAGAGGAAAAAAGCTTCAGTATCTGTGATGATGTATGATTTGGAGAGAAAGTAATTTACGCCATTTACATTAACTGGACACTTAATTAGGTATACCTTCCTCTGAACCCCTTTTGCCTTCGGAACAAAAAACTGTTTTCATGAATCTGTGCAAACTCTACTTTTAGTTCCCTGCTCTTAGCTGGCATAAGTGGCAACCAGTGTGGTCTTGTGCTGCTGTAACCCATGTGCATCAAGGTCTGATTTGTTCACAGATGCTCTTCTGCATACCTTGGTTGTAACAAGTGGTTATTCAAATTATTGTTGCCGTCCTATCAGATGAAAGGAGACACTCATTCTCTTCTGACATCTCAGACTGAGATGTCAGAAGAGACCTTAGAGATGATCGTGTGAGAAAACCCCAGCAGATCAGCAGTTAAGTACTCGGTCCAGCCCAGCTGTCATTACGAGCTATGTCACTTTCAAAGTCCTTTAAATCTGCTTTTCATTCTGCCCATTTTATGTCTACATGCATTTAGTTGCTATAGGTAGACAATCTTATTTTGTCTGCAACTACTTGGAAAAACAGATATAAAATAAAAAGTCAGCATGTAAAGAAGAAAAATTATACAGTTATTTTAAAACTAGTGTTGGACTGCTTTTCCTCTTGGAGAATCTGTCTCTTCAATGGGGTTCACATAAGGAACATAAACTGCTAACCCTGCACAAAATCACCTGCAGACTGCTGACTGTAAAAAGAAAAACCTGAAGAATATAAAAATAAACAATATCTGATTAATTATAATTATAGGAGAAGGTGAGGAGTCAGGTGCTTTGTACTTATGGACACTAGAGGTTGCAAGGACATGTCAAGAAGTATGTAGAGAACATGGAAGGGGCTCAATTTCATACCTGCTATCATGGCAGTAAAATGTTAATAAAACAGTTTTTTATAGTGCTTTTTCACAGTAGATATGTTGGCTAGTTGTTTTAATCAAGTAGTCTCAGTAATGTTTTGTAACTGAAGCATCAGGAAGGATTCAGGACCTGGGAACTGATGTGTTTTAGCACAAAGAGTGCTGAGGATAAACAGTGGAGTATTTCACTCCTGTTGGATTGGTGAATATTCTGGGCTTATTGGTCCTTTTGGGCTCCTGTATCTGTCCAGGTGTTTTCACTGGTGGAATATTCCACTTTGATCCTGGGTGGAAGCTTATCATTGGGGGAATATAATTAATGGTGAAACACCACTGGAAAGTAGAAGGATCGAGTGATTTCATTAACTCTGTTTCATTCCCCGATGCAGGTATGTGTGCCAAATCATGATGGAGTTTTGCTTTTAGTTTTTTTTAAAGGTTAAACCTAAATGTAAATTTTAGTGCTTTGATAATTTAACATGTTTAGTTTTTATGTCAACACTCGGACTTAATCTATTGTGACACATCTAAATCTTAGAGAGAATACAGTCTGTTTTTACATCTGTCACAAGAACAAATGCAAAGCACAGATGGAGAGCAGGAAGAATGAAGACAGATGTGTACAGATGAAACATGAGAAAGAGCAACGCAACATAAGTGATTAAAAACTCTGTGAAGAACATGTAAAAGAAATGGCTTGTCATCCAGTTTTCCTACAGTGAGGAGGGAAAAACCCTTTAGTCCTGATGAGAGTCGTAGAAAATTGTCCTGGAGAATGAAAATGATACTTTGCTGTGTTAGTGATGATGGCTTCTGGCTGGGTCATAGCATTGCAAGCCTGGCCTGGACTGCTGAAGGAAGTCACCACATCAAATCAGTCACAGGTTTCATTTTAACTCACTTTATGATAAAAACAAAATCCAGCTGTATGCAATTTAATGCAGCAATTTAGCATAAAGCAGAGGGCAGCAGCATATCACTCTCCTACACTTCAAGTGACTGATGTCAGCCTACGGTCCACCAACTGCAAACATCCAGCATCAATGCAATATAACATCCATATAGACCTAACTCCTAGTTGGTTCTTGTTATTTAATCTCAGTGTACCTTTAAAGATTTGGATTCATGTGCAGTAGATTAATGTCTGCAGTCTGACTTGATTGCAATCTCAACCGGTGTAGCTACAGCCAGCAGAAAATAATGGAGCAGGCCTGCAATAAATCCTATCAACCATGAAGGTTAAGCCTGTTGTTCATTCAACTTCATTTTTATTCTGGACCTTGCAGTTATCGTTTTGCCCATCTCATTTATTTCACAGACGGTAGGCCAAATTGCAACCACCCCCAATCTGATCAAACAGCTCCCTAAAAGAGGCCCAACAACAACTCATGTTAAAGCATTAGACAGAAACCTAAATCTCAGTTCTGACTATTGCTAGCGGTCATTACCCATTCCTGCCTGTGTCTGCTCACATCTTACCTTTGCTCCAACTTGGAGTGGGTATCCAGTTGCTGTTTGTATCATCTGTCATGAGTGCCCTCCCTCTGAGTCAGCCCAAGTGCTGCTGTGCCAGGCTGGTCATTCATAGCACTCATTTAAAATCATGTCATGTTCAACAACCCAGACGGTTGCATTAGCTGTAGAAACTTTCAGAAAAGTATAAAAATAACAATGTTGCTGTGCATCACTGACCCATTGTTCAAAATGTTGTAACCTTGTAACCTTTTGTGCGTATGACCTGAAGTCTGAATGCTATAATTAGACAAATCTATCCTTGACAAATATTTGTTTAAACTTCGAGACCTTTGCTCCGTGTCAGTGTGTCGGCCACAATTTCAAAACTACAGCAGCGGTCAAGCCCGCTTACTATTTTTATATTGGTCACGTACACTTTCTCCCATGAACCAGCTGCACCCCTCTTCTTCTTGGCACACAAACATGGAGTAAGTACAGAGGGACACTCATTATATTTGTCTGTCCACTGCTTCAAAAGAAACAAAAATACAGATTTACATTGAGATGACTCCCGTCGACTTTTAAGATGAATTGTGGCCACGCATCACCAGAAGTGCTGAGGGGAAAAACGATGAAAGGAGCACCCTCGGGCAAAGTTGTCCTTTGAGCCTCTGAGAAGTCGACCTTTTGGTTTTTTCCCCCTCTAGAGTTTGCCTCACTGACAGCATGCAGGAGAACCGTGTCTCTCGTTGGTATTTTGGTGGGGTCTCGTCCAGTGCAGCAGCCTGTGTAACCCATCCACTGGATTTGATAAAGGTAAATTATAGAGCTTATCGAATTTGAATTAACACCAGAGCACAATCCTTCCATTCGGCAGAGACAAAATAGATCCAGGTAGGCCTCACTGATGTGTCTATTTTGGCTATTTTGGTTTTCTATTTACCTGCTGATGATAAAATTTGGAATAATGTGTTGTAGCAATATTCATTTTAGCAGTTTCTTAGAATTTCACTTGGCTGATGAGACTATTATGCAGCCAAATTGCCTTTATATTGGCAATCATTAGGCTTGCTTTGATTCCTTAAGGTGCTTTAAATGATAGTAAAATTTGTAGTGTATGTTTAGTGGCACAGTTTTTTATTTCTTGCAGCTATTATCCACTTATTGCATTGGTTTTCTTTAATTTAGGATGCGGACTGAATGGTGCTGGTAATATTAGAGCGTGAGATATATTTTCAGACTAGATATTAACGGTTTTAAAGACAGGAACTTTACATATATCTAAGGCCAATTCTCACTAAAAGTGCCACTGACTCTTAGTGCTGCTTCCTGATGGTTGCTTCCAGGTCCACTTGCAAACACAGCAAGAAGTGAGGATGAGGATGATTGGGATGACTCTTAACGTAGTGAGAAGAGAGGGTTTTCTGGCTCTCTACAGCGGGCTCACTGCTTCCCTCTGCCGGCAGGTCAAAAACAACACTCATTTCCATAAAACCTTTATCAGCCGCACACTCTTCCTCTCTTTGACATAGCTGTTTTTATTTATTCATTTGTCCAGATGACATATTCTTTGTCACGATTTGCGATTTACGAGACCGTCAGGGATAAGATGAAGAGAAAAAATAAAGGTCCTATGCCTTTCCACCAGAAAGTCCTCCTGGGTGCCTTTGCAGGTAAATGGTGCAAAATAGCTTACATTTTATTTAAAGATGTTGTTTCATTTTATACTTAAAATTGCATTTAAAGATGTTGTTTTTCCTTCATCAGGTTTTACAGGTGGTTTCATTGGGACCCCAACTGACCTGGTGAATGTAAGGTGAGATACAGTGTTTATGTCTTTGTATCTGTTTGCACTTCACATGTAGAATCGTTTTATTATCTTGAGCATTTTAAAAATGTTGTTTATAACTTTTGGGGTTTTGCGGTTTCTGTCCACCGTACATTTCTGCGAGTGCTTGATGACCAAAAAACAAACAATAATAGAAAAAGAAAAATACCAAAAAGTAACAAAGGATACATGAACACGGATCACTTCATTAGGTACACCTGTCCAACTGCTCATCACAAATATCTCATCAGCCAATTACATGAGAGGAACTCAGTGCATTTAGACATGTAGACGTGATCAAGAAGACCTGCTGAAGTTCAAAGAGAACATCAAAATGAGGAAGAATGGTGACAGAAGCGACTCTGAAGGTGGTATGGTTGTTGCTGCCAGATAGGCTAGTCGGAGTATTTCAGGGACTGTTGATCTTCAAATAATTCATTGTATTGGATAGTCGCTACATAGGCCTTTACCAGAGTTGCCTCAGTTGTGCCGACTGGGAGCTTGGGCTGTTTTACCCTGTGCTTCTTAGGTTATTCTTTGCCTTTGGAGGAGCCACACTAAACCAGAGTTCATAGAATGGTTACAGACACTGCTTCCTGTGAATCACTGATGGTAAGGAATAATAACTGTCAAGGAAAGTTTCAGCAAGAGTGGATTGAAGTTGCAGAGAAAACAAAGGACAGAACCTAATGGACAGTTGCCCTTTCTCTTTTGTGCGTCTGCTAAGTTTTACACAACCCCTTATTTATTTTGTTCTTAGTACTTGGATACTTTTCTGTCTTTGTATTTCTCCTTACTGATTGCACAGATGTAACCATGTCCAGTGTATGCTATTTTGTGTTTTGATTGTTATGAAAATTGAAAATAAATAAAAGAAAAAAATGGGCAACAGAAGGTTGGAAAAATGTCTGGTCTGATGACTTTTTCCTCTTTGACATTTGGATAGTAGGGTCAGAATTTGTCATAAACAACAGGGAAACATTGATTCATCCTGGTATCATCATGCTGCTGCTTGTGGTGCAAACGTTGGGATCCCTATTACCAGCTGAGCATCATTTAAATGCCACAGGCAGCCTGAATATTGTTGCTGAACATGTCCAGCACGCACTGTATCAAAAAGGCCTCCAGGGCTCATTTGGGATGTGGTGGAACAGGAGATGCAGATCATAGATGTGCAGCTGACAAATCTGCAGCAACTGACATGATGCTATCTTGTCAATGCCATGAAGGCAGTTCTGAATGCAAAAGGGGTCAAACGTGGTAGTATCTAACAAAGTGTCTGTGAGTGTATATATATTTCTAAACACAAGTTAAGGGGTTAAGGGGTTTCTAACATAACATCCAAAGTAGGTACCTGTAGAAATGTTGTGAAGTGAAAGGAAGATAGCTGGGGAAAGTACAAACTACACAAGAAAAAAAGTTGTGGTGGCACAAAAGCCTTCCCAATTTTAGATGGTCAATTTTCCCAGAGTGCAGAAGCTAGACAATCAGTGTTAAGGCTGCACGTGCTGACAGACAACCGGCTTTGAAATCTCTCATCTTTACAGAATGCAGAATGACGTCAAGATGGCAGCAGAGTTCAGAAGAAAGTAAGTGCACGAAAAATGGGAATACATCCTGAATCATAATTACAGACAATTATAGTTCTTTCCAAATAACCATATTGTAAGATAGTTTTTTCCCTTTTTACAGTTATGCTCATGTGTTTGATGGGCTCTTACGTATCTGTAAGGAAGGTAAAGTCCATAAAAGCTTCTACCATTAAACGTACCATTAAAGCTTTATTTTTATTTCCTTTGTATGTTCTGTCACAAGTTTAAAATCCACAATCCTTAAACTCAAGAGAACAAATACTGACTAAAGATTTCTTTACAATGTTCATCCTTCTGAAATGTGCTTTTTAGAGGGGCTGAGGAAACTGTTTTCTGGTGCTTCAATGGCTTCTTCGAGAGGTGCACTGGTGTCTGTTGGACAGGTAAAGTCATAAAACTGCCCTACAAGACAACAGTGACTGCAAATATAGTGAAACTGTGAATATTTGAGCAGTAACAGCAAACTGTAAGACAGAATCATAATGGCCTTAATGTTATAATTTTTATGCCCAACAATTATTGCCATAAATAAATCTGTAATGGCTAAATATGCAGATAGTCAGCTGATTAAACTGTGTTTATTCAGTTTTTCTTAGCTTGTTATGTAGGGAAATATATTTTAGAGGCTACGCATAAAGTTCAATTAAAAAAATCTATACATTTAAATGTTGGTATTTTTTAAATTTTAAAATCAGTCAGTATAATCCTAAAAGTTATACTGCATGTAATTATCATGCAAAATGCCAAAATTCTGAATACTGCTCAGACCAGTAAGTGCTGTCAAAGAAATTCCTTTTTCTCTGGCAAAGAGAAACTACCAGTTGGAGACAATCATGATCACTAACGAGATGTTAACAGGCCTTGGTGTTGTTAAGTTAGTAAAAACATTGTAGGGCCTTCAGCGTCACTTATTAAGATTTAAGTGAGCGTGTGTAGATGTTTGAGCCTGTGTGTATACTTTTGACCCTGCATGGATTGGAGGAAATCCTAATAAATTAAAACTTGTGCATCCAATTCTTGTTTTTTAACGTCTCTAAAGATCTATGCGCAATCATTCCACCCTGGAGAAAGAAAACTTCAAAGAAATCATTAAAGGCCCTAAATCACCATGACATTTATGCCCATGTTGAGTACCCACAAACTTCTGACCACAACTGTATATCCACTGTGTAGTTTGCTCTTGTTCTGTGGCAGGAAGGACACAGATTAGCCTGCAGCATTTAAACCAAAACTACATTTTGGGTTTTAGGTCTATTTCACTGATATTTTTTTTAAAGTATTTTCTTGGAAATTATACACTTCTTTAAAAAATAAAGAAACAAAACAGAAAGCCATAAATGCGAGCCAACTTACGCAGCACATGTGTGTTTTGCTCCTGCAGCTCGCCTGCTACGACCAGTCCAAAGAGCTGGTTCTGGCTACTGGTTACTTGACTGACAACATCTTCACTCACTTCCTGGCGAGTGTGTTTGCAGTAAGTGACTCACGTCTGTCATAGCATAGCAAGACAAACATCACATGATTTTCTGAAATAAGCCCTCTGTTCTTGCGCAGGGTGGCTCTGCTACAATCCTCTGTCAACCACTGGATGTTGTTAAAACAAGATTAATGAATTCAGAAGTTCAGTATGGGGTGAGTGTCTTTAAAATGACTTTTCCTGTTATCTGGTTTTGCAGGAGAGTTTGGCTTATTTAGGTCTCTGAGTTCTCCCGCCCTCATCACTCTGATGTTATGTATGTTTTATTCATTGGTTATGGGGAAAATGACACAGCTTGGCATGTCTCTTGTGTGTTTTGTCTCCTTGTTGCAGAGTGTGTCTCACTGCTTAACAGAAACAGCAAAGCTGGGGCCGAATGCGTTCTACAAGGTGGATGTCACATTCACGCAGACATGTTTTATACAGCGCTTTCTAATTATGTGCTGTAGTAACCTACAGAGTATTAAGACACTGAAATAGTGCTTTGATTTGTGTCCAGGGTCTTGTTCCTGCAGCTATCCGCCTCATCCCTCACACAGTCTTAACCTTCATATTCCTCGAGCAGCTGAAGCAGCATTTTGGTGAGCTGGTCATTACCTGAGGGTGCCACAAGAAAGTTATCCTACGGCCACGGCTATTCCTTCACGATTTTAATGGCCCTCCATGCTGCACAGGTTGATCTCGACAAACTGAGCTGGGGTCGAGTGGAACCCTCAAAAGTCTGAGACGGAAAGAGAATCTTCATGCTACGTTTTTCCATCCATAACACATAATCAAAACAACCTGTGTAATAACACCCAAAGCTCCAGACAAAAATGTGGTGACGAAACGTGGTGTTTCTTAAAAACGGAGACGGTTTAAATTATTTACATTCACCACTTTGCTACTTCACTTGTCATGAACTGTGCAACTATAAATATCACCTAAGGTTATATAAGGCTAATAAAGTAATGAATGGATTTCCATTAAATTCAAAACTGTCTCTTGAATGAATATCCTGAACCTGACAAATGAATCGTCATGCTACAAAACCTCCAGTGCCCTCTGGGGGACAGTGTTACACTGAAAAGCAGCCTGCCAATATATTTCTATAAAGTGTATTTGTAATTATGCAGATTGTCAAAGGATTTGGTTCAAGACAAGACTGTTTATTTTCATATTATGGAAGGAATGTGAGGGCGGGACAGTAGTGCAGTGGTTAGCACTTTCTCCACTGCCTGTGCAGAGTTTGCATGTTTTTCCCTATTCTGCCACTGATTTCCTGCCACAGTGCAAAAACAGGCATGCTAGGTTAATTGGTGATTCTACATTGTGAGCGCCTGTGATGGAGTGGACCCTGCCTCTTGTGCCATGTCAGCTGATGAAAGAGGCCCCTTGGATCCATAGTTTTGTTGGAGAAAACGATTAGAAAGAAAATCTGTGGCAGAAGTGTTACTTTTTCTCATTTTCATTAGTCAGGATCGAGAATATAGTGAGAAAATAAATGATGGGCTTTATGGAAAAGAAAACAAGGCTGATTCAATTGTGAAAACAAGCTTGTGAAACACTCCCTTGTCAGTAATTTGTCTCTTTATTTACTTCTCTCACTGCATGAGTGCAGTTATTGCTGGACACATCAGACATCCTGTCAGGCCTCTTTTAAAAAGGAATACTTAACCTCTTAGACAATTAGATTCACTTGAATTCATTATGACCGTGCTTTCATTAGACACTCAGCAGCTTTTTAAAACAGGAGGCCGGCAGATTCGTGTGAAGACAAAGACACAATTTTTGCTTAAAAAACGACAGAGAAAAAAAAGTTGTGTGCCATGGTTCAGCAGCTGTATGTGGGTTTGTGGGTTCATGTTATTTAATATCGTTCCAGGTATTATTTTCCTGAGCATTATATTGTACAGCGATGCACAATCCATCATGCTCAGCTTTACAAGACGAACTGATATCTTTTCCATGTCCCATGGTTTACTCACTGCCTGTATCAGTGTCAGAATTTGAGTGATGATTCTTGTCTTCGGGATCCAACAGCTCCACGCTTGATGCCTTTTCCATGATGTATAGTCAAACAAAAATTAGATAAACTTTCCTTAAGAAGTCCAGCCCGCTAAGTCACTGATATCACCAAGAGATTAATGCGTAAGTGAAATCAGCTCTTTTTGATGAAACTTTTATTTATTTATTTTTTGTGGTTAAAGGTTAAGTTTCAACTTGCTTATTCCTAACTGCTGCACAGGTTACACGACCCCGTGAAAGTCATCTAATGGTGAGCCGGTTATTATGTGCGGTTGTCATGGTGCTTGACGAAAGAGCAGCTTGATGACATAGGTCAGTAATGATAGATAATGCACTGCATAAGAAGAGTACATCTGCTTCCTTTTTTAGTGTATATCCAGATTTACTTTGCTGTGTATGAAAGAGTCAGACAGTTAAAATAAAAATAAAAAATTATTAAAAAGAAGTGTAGGTGTTAATTTATAAAATAGAACACTTTTCTTTTATAATATTAATGTATGAATGTATTTCAGTATTAATTTATTTGCTTGCAAACAGTACTGAGCAGTTGTATAAGTTTTAGATAGATAGCTTAGCCAGCTGCCTCAGGTCTCTAGAAGCAAGCATTTCTCTTGGATGTTGAGCCTCCGGATTGATTTGCATTAAGAAAAATGCTAAATATAAAATTCAAAGAGATTAATAAAGCCAATCAATCGATTATCCATTCATCCATCTGTCTTCTTCCTCTTCTCTCAGCTGTTATGGGGCAAAAAAAGTGGAAAATTAAATATAAATAAATAAATAAATAGGGAAGCATATTAATAAAAAAATGATGTATTTCTGTCACATTTTTAATTTAATTGAATGCTCTGATTTATTACACTTGTATTATTTTTATAAACTGATTCATTTAGAAATTATTTATTTTTTGTGCCATTTTCTGCCCTTCATCACTCTGAAGCCTCAGACGGCGGTTTGTGCTTGATGTTTTCTCTTTATCAGGCACTCTATCGCTGGTAGAGACTGACCGCTGCGCCCGAAGACATCCACCGGGGATGCAGCTAATGATGGCGATGATGATGCACACGCACACACGGACAGAAACACGTATCGCTTTCTCATCTTTCTCCGTTTACCTTTGTTTCTGGATGCGGACGAGGAAGAGATGTCAAAGTCTGGTTTGAAGCTGAGAACTGACAGACTGAATGTTTTGGAACGGTCCTGACAACAGAAACAGAATTTGAGATTTTACAGTGAGGTGAATTGTTATACCAGATGTTGCGGGTTCATATCTCAACACGAGGAGAAGTCATTTTCATCTTTGATTTTTACCCAACAGGATGCTCACTGTATATATGAACAAACAGGCTTTTTAAAAATATACATTTTTATATTTTATTATTTCTCATTGGCCAGTTTGTTGAAATAATAATCTTTTCTTCACACCGAGAAACTGGGCTTGTGCAGATATAAGTAAAGTAAGGGTACAGACAAGGGTTTAAGTCTTTTCCAAAACAGCATTAAGAAGGTTTCAGTTAATGTTCAGTTAGCATACACGCAAAACCCCCCAAATCAAACTATACAACCTTGATAGTTATATTTCATGTTTAATTTCACTTTTCCCCCCCAGATGTCAGTCTCAGAAGTTGTCACCTGTGAGTCAAAGTTTCAGGCTGTTATGTCTTTAAGATGCTGACAAATTGCAAAACTCTTCTGCAGCCTTTAAAGGAAAACACTGACCTGACCTCATTCTCTGTAATTGTTTATTATTATTATCATACTAAAAGTAACTTGAGATTATTCGTGTTTAAAACATTTCTGGATCACAACATTTGTTGAAAAAAAAAATAAATCAACAAGCATGTTAAAACCGGGCATGATTTCATGTCTCTCATGTCAGCTCTGGTTCAATATATCCATACACCACAGTGCTGGCATGCAGCTGTTAACAATTTAATGCAATAAAGATTAATTTAATTGCATTACATTTTTGTGTGTGATAAGATCCAGAGGGATAGCAAACATCCAAGTAATTCATATGTGGCCTTGATTAAATTTGAAGTGGACATTTGCATGGAATAATGTGCAAAGCGCCTTGAGGCAACTGTTGTTGTGAATTGGTGCTATATAAATAAAACTGAATTGAATTAAAGTGTCTGGCTGCACTCTTTAAACAGCATGAAATTTAAATTAAATGCACTGGGTATGGCCAAGTAGGCCGGTTAGTCCAAAGCGTATGAGCTTTGCAGTTTGTTATACCTCCGCTGTTAAGCCTGGACCAGCTGCACTGTCACAGTTCAACAGTCTTTTAACAGCTAAGAAACCAAAAAAAGCGCTTTTACATTTCATCTCACTGCCAGCTGTGGAAATCCCTTCTTTTCTAGTTTCTTCCCTCCTTTCATCTTACTGATCCATCAGAGTTTTCCTCAGCTTTCCTGGACTCTCACAAGGTAGTTGACAGTCCTCTGTTCTTCTTCTCTGCACTCAGCTGCCAGCTGCTTCAAATGTCAGATTCTTCCTCTCATGGGCGATCTCTGTTTTTCCACAGGCTGGTCAGCTCAGTCAGTGCAAGCAACAGTGTTAGACTTCAGTGAGGGTGAAGGTGGGAAGACCTGCCAATTACCAAAGTGATCATCCAAACAGCTTAGCAACTGAAAAACACCAAGCCTGTGAAACTTTAGATTTCGCAGCATGTTTTTTAAGCAGTGTGACCGCAGACATAAGAGAAAAGCAAACCTATACGTACAAAAATGTTACACTCTGTTAATTTTCTTCTCCAAAATACAAATGCAAGATGACAGGGTTAAATCCAATATTTTCATCTGGACCCCTGGTTCTTTGTAGTATACAGCAGCAGCTTCTGGACTGGATTGGAAAAAAGGATGAGATTTTAAATCACGGTGCAGACTAATATCAGCAAGATTAGGATTTCAGTCCAGGACAAAAGGAGCTGTTCATTCAGTGAACGTTAATTACTAAGCTTGTTAATAATAAAGCACACATCTTGCTTGTTCCATTAAAATTAAGAGGCAAAGAGGAATGAGTCAGATTGACTATAATTTTTGTCCTTACCATTCTTTAGACATTATTATCTAAATTCATCTTTTTTTTCAACACACAGCCATCAAATGGACCTATTTAATGCTTGTTTAAGCAATGACAATTTAAAATCGGCAGTAAAAATGATGGTTAGCATATTTCCAACTTTTAGAGTTACAATTGATTCTTTATAAGAAGTTTTAAAGCTGATGAAAAGTTGTCATTTTGCCTGGCAAAATTGATCGTCACCAGCCAGAAATTGTAACACTGCTTTTGTCTACCTCTGTCTGAAATCATAGATTTAGTTTTTGGAAAATTTTAAGGTCACTTTCAAGTGGCTAATCTGTTACTATTATCACTATAATTTAAAAATGATACCAGAACTTAGATCCCCTCTCACTGCCCCTCCCAGAGTCAAAGTTTGGTGCATTTCCTTAATGAATCCTTTTCTTATCAACCCTGCGTTGTTGGCTGGAGATGATTTTTCCTACACTGTCTATGTCTGAGGGATTTCTGCCAGCTTGCGTTGGACTGGGTCACGGCACCACCTGTGCCATGCCTGGCTGGCCACAGCAGGTAGTGCTGAAAGCTGAAGGTGCTTCAAAACCACTCTCAACTGGGCTTCATGACACTCAATGTGGGCAACAGAGGGGCCATAAATCTGCAAAATTATATTTAAATAGAAAAATAACCAAAATTACACTTCCCTGGTTTTCATTCGACAATAGTGATCTGCCTTTCTTCCTTTCTTAAAGCTCATTTGCTGCCAGTATCATACTGGGTGGTAACAGCGCTGATCTCCTCGGTTTGGAATGACGACAGAGTTGAGAGAATGAGCGATGGTTTCACATTATGGAAAAGTTTGTGGGATGGAGTGTGGGAGCCAGGCTTTTCTCTTGAGGTCTGACTGTGGATCTAAGCCTGCATGCCTCCCCTCTCTGCTCCGGCCGGCAGCCCTTTGCAGCCAGAAGAGAGATATTCACATAAACAGGAGCGAAAGCCAGGGCGGAGAAAATCACCAAAAACCTTATATAAGGAGCAAAGTGACTGGCAGGCCAGAGAATCAGTGAATTGTAAAAGAAGGTGGCAAGCAAGCAAAACATTACACAGACTTACTTGGCAATTATATACTGTATGTAAAGCCAGATTTCATCCCATGTAAAAGCAAAAGTTTTTGTATGCTATGTACCCCAGCTTAATTTGTGTATGTCTACTTGTGAAGATGATTTTTTTTTTACAGTTAATGGCAGAAAAAAAGACGCCAAAAAAGAGGCAGTGACATGTAATAAAGATAATGATGAAAAGCAGCAGGTTGTGTTCTCACTGAAACAGCTCAAATCAGAGCAGAAAAAACAGCCCATTAGTCTGAGGCAGCAGAGATAAACAGCTATGCAGAATTTCTTATTTTTGTTTTCAGAAAACTTTTATGTTAATAAGGCGCGTCAGCCTTTTTACTTGAGGGGGTCCCATTTTTAAATAGACTCCCCACATCCAAAGTGGAATTAAAGACATGTTCTTCATCATTAAATGGTGATATTCCCAGTCAGACCAATATAGTGTTTGCTTGATTTTTTGAGAAATCCATTTTCATATGTACAGTATGAAATTATGCAGTCCAAATGACTGACTGCAGCTTTTCATTTATCACAGTGCTTAATGACATCAGTGGACGTGCGCAAGCTATTACTGGAGCACGGTAATCTTATTGCTTGTTAGCCCAATATAACTGAGCAGTACGTGAAAATGAACCCTGTTACCTTTAGCTTTCACATAGATAGCTACAGCTAGCACTGTTCAAGCATTTAGA